TTGACAGTGAAAAACGCCACGCGTGAGGTTTAGATTATTTCCCTGTCTCAATCAAAAATTGAACTGTATGAAATAAAAACGGCACATTTGTCTTGGAGTAAATAAAAAGGGATCAATGTGAACGTGACGTATGATAGTCATACTTGTCAACCCTCCCGATTTTCGCGGGAGACTCCCGATTTCATTGCCCTCTCCCGGTTTCCTCCCGGGGTCATATTTCTCCCGCATTTCTCCCGATTTCTGACAAAATCAGATTTACACACGACTGTTTCCACTCGGACTTTAATACAGCGACACCATTGTTTGGTTTCCATGGTAACACGTCTCTTTAGTAGCGCGCGCAACTCAAAGTCTGAGAAGAGGGTGAGGCAGATAGTCACAGAAAACGGAACAAGAATCGACAACTACTCCACCCTCTGCTCACTCCTTTCCTGTAAAATACAGGTCAAAATACAGGTCCAGCCCACACATGGTGCTACAGGCCGCAAGGCAGTGCACTTAGAACTACAATAAGCATGTTAATGTTAATCTAACAGCTCCCGATCCACTAGCACCCCCCCCCCCCAATTTAGCATTTTGAAATGCTCCCGATTTCTGAGGTCTCAAGGTTGGCAAGTATGCTGTCCCCTTTGAAATGTTCTGATAATCTATAAGCAATAAAACTGCAATTCCGTTTTCAAATTGTAGAGCACGCCATTCTTATGCTCTGTAGCAAGATTGAATGAGCGAAGACGCCATCTTTTTTTTAACATGAGTGTGTGCGGGACGATTTCCCTTCGATTCTATTGGCTCTAACGGTCAGAAAGTGATGTCACATGTCAAAATCGAAAAAGGGGGGCCAGAGATATGGAAAATCCACCCAAATAGCCCCAGAAGAGGTTTTTTGTGTGCTAAATCTGTCTAAAAAGATCAAATATCACTTGTTTTGCATCAATCTTGATACAGGGTACTTATTATATGTTGTACTTTGGATTCCTAAAGCTTTTAGTCTACTTACCATCATCCAAGGTTAGTTTTCACTATAAGTACAACATATGTTTTGGACGGACACTATAATTTACAGTTTTTGACCATGTTCAATCTGAATTTTCTTTAAAATAAAAAACATCTATATTGATTCTAACTTTTCTACATCCAACTCACAGGTTTATCATTACTTCGAGAAAAAAGATGATTAATTTAACCCTTTTAGAAGGGACGATTTGGTCATTTGTTCTGGGAATGTCATTTTTGGCCTGAAACCTGAAAAACAGGCTCGGGGCTTAAGAGGTTAAAACTCTGGAATGTGTCCCTCTGCTCTCACTGCCTCCAATGTTTACCGTCCTCACTATCTTTATGACTGCAATAATCTCTTTACTACACTTTCACCAGAGTGCATTTCCTGCTTTTTAAACATTAAAGGGCCCTTTAGTATGCAAACTTGTGAAATATATCTTGATATTAAGTCCAAATATCAATCAGGCTTAAACACAGTACCCATAATGCATGTCAACAGCTTATCTTCATAATAAACCCTCTGTCTGGTTAATGTCTTTCACTCTCGATGCCCCAGTTTCTACTATCTGCTTTGTTGTTAGAAAAGTGTAGTGACCACACCCAATCGGAGATACAGTAGACTTTACGATGCTTTTTTTTAACAGGCAGATTTTCAATTTCAGGCGTGTCAACTCCAAGTTGCTTAACGTCTCTCTCACTATCAAATGCTTTAATCTGGACATCTGTTTTAATTGCGCTTAGTCACATTTTGCTTTCATGGACACACCAACTTCAAAGTTGCAAAAACTCTTTATTTTTAAACAGATGTATCAATGAAAACGCTCCAGTTGGGTCATTGCATTATCATAAGTTGTGTGACCTGGCCCCTTTTTCTAGATTGGGTAGGGTTTCGATTTGCACCTTGGTGACACCATATATGAAAGATGTCAGGCTGCCCATGCTGTGACCAATCAGAGAGAGAGCAGCTGCTGGTTTGTAGATTAAAGACAGTTGCTGATAAGACTTTTCATGCAGACTTTGACTTTGCGGTTCTCTACATGCAGGAACTACACCAAAAGAGGTCCAATATAATGAGATGCATTACAGCTGGACTTCAGCCTGAGAGAATCTGTCCTGTCATCTTTTTAATACCTTAGTAAGTCTTTTTGCAGCTTAAACCTTAACTCGCAGGACTACAGTCAAGTTCAGTGTTGGTGCATGAACGGACCTTAAAGCTGCTTTGACACATGCACATCTGGATATCAAAATGAGCAGCTTTGGGGAGATTCTGAAGGAGATCGGGGAGTTTGGTTTGTTTCAGAAACGTCTGGCGGCGGTGTTATGCATCCCCAGCCTGTTCACAGCTTTCGATGTGATCGGTCAGGTGTTTGTAGGACTGAACTTCCCACATCACTGTAACACCGACTGGATCCTGGAGCGAGGACCCAACCTGACGGAGGAACAACAAAGAAATCTCACCCTCCCACTGAACAAGGATGGAGGTTTTGAAAGCTGTGAGATGTTCACTCCTGTGGATTTGGATTTGGAAACCATTATAGCGTACGGCATCAACAAGACTACAGGATGCACACATGGATCGGATTCTGAAGCACCTGAAGGGGCATCAAGCATTGTGACAGAGGTAAGAGATCATTTTATACATCAATCAGAAATGTAATCATCGAAATTAAGTCATTCTTACTTCTTGCTGGGTTGCTTTTCTACTGTTGATAGTTGTGGCAGCTGTTGCATTTAGGTCTCATTTGAGCCACCAAACCATTAAGCATTGTAACCTAGTTGTAGTCAATCCCCCAGAAAGAGTGCCGGCCAATGAAAAAATACTTTTTCACACGTCTGTATATCAGCCTATGTATATTTCTCAATATATATCAGAATAAACTACCAAGCACGAAAACTTTTAACGTCTTATTTAGGAATTGGGGTCGTTGTAAAATGTCCTAAAAGCCAAATCCAGAGTTATTTTCTCTCCATTCATTTGACTGAGCCATCATTTGGAGATCATGCGCCACTGAGACAACCGAATTGCTAACTCATTTGAATTACAGTGTAGGATGGATTTTTATCATCTGATGCACAACCTTAGCAGCAACAGTTTGTTGATTTGAAAACCTTTGGGATTTTCAGTTCTTGATCTTCTCAAATAACGACTGAGAAAAACTGAATTTGTTGTTTTCTTTGGTCTTACTTCTTTCTCCATCCTATCTGTCATCAGTTCAACATGATCTGTGACAGGAGTGGTTTGATTGCAGCGTCTCAGTCCATCTACATGGCCGGTCTCCTGGTTGGAGCGCTGGTGTTGGGGCCGATGGCTGACAGGTGCTCAATAACTCCATATTAATGATTCTGAACTGATTTCAATTGTACTAAACTTATACGAGTGACAGATTAAGTGCATCTTCAACAGTGCTTATCTTCTCTCCGTAGGTTTGGTCGTCGCTTCGTAGTCCTGCTTTCCATCTTTCTCCTCATGTTGTTTGGTGTCGGCATTAGTTTCTCACCCAACATCTATGTTTATATTGTTCTGAAGTTCTTAAATGGCATTGCCGTTTCAGGCATTATTGCTAATTTATTTGTCATAGGTAGGTCTACTGTTCCCCACTGAAGCTTCTGTCTGGGTCTCTGTATCAGCTGATAACTGTCTACTTTCTGCTTTGAAGGTGGAGAGTGGAGTGACTCCTCAAAGTTTGCTCTCTGCACCATCATCTGCCACTCGTCCTTCCCCCTTGGACTGATAATGTTGTCGGGCATTGCCTATCTGATCCGTGATTGGAGGATCCTGCAGCTGGTGCTCTTCAGTCCTCTGGTCCTTGTCCTGGGAATCGTTTACTGGTCAGACGCCTCTCAGACACTTAAGATGCTAATCTCGATTTAAGCCCTAAGTGAACGCTCTATAGCAGGGGTGTCCAAACTTTCGAAAATTCGAAGGGCCGGGCCACGCACTAGAGCTATATTGCCTCATAAGTTCAGTTATAAGTTAGCAAAATCAATCAAATGTAGTAAATGATGCTTGTGAGTGTTGGCAGATCGT